TGATGGAGCGCAAGCTCGAAGCTTCATAGTATCGGCTCGACGCGAAACTCGCACAGCGCCGGCTTCGCCGGAGAGAGTGCGATGATGACACCGCCTCTGACATCTCCTTCGCCCCATCCGCATACTCGGTGGCGTCTGCGCCGGCTCGTGGCCAGTCCGCCTCGTCCGCAGTGCGGAGGCTCCGATCGGCCGTGGAGAATCCCAACCCCAATCTGCCGTGTAAGCGGCATGGACTGTCGCCGTGCCTGCTTTGCGCAGAGGCGGCGCTCATCGCCAAGCCGCCGCCGAGGCCAGCCCCGCAAGCGCTGCCGCCGCCGCCGCCGCCCCGCAGGGTCAAAAGCGCCCAGCCGGCGAGCCGCACCGAGCTGAGCAGCTATGCATCCACCCTGGACACGCGCTTTGGCCGCAAGCCGCACCAGAGGGCCCTTCAACCCCAGCAAAGGCGGCCGCCGCGACCGCCGCGGCCGCCGCGACCGCCGCTCAAGCCAGTCGTGCCACTCCAATCTGAGGGGCTTGGGATGCTGCCACATCCAGCCTACTGCCTGCCGCTGCTGCCGCACCTGGCTCCAGCTTCATCGGTTGCCGACCCGACTTGCTGGTCACAAGGCCCGCTCCCGCGAGAAGCAGAGCCACCGCCGGTCTCGGTTCCGGTTCCAGTGCCGGTGGTGCCGGTGGGCAGTGCTGCGTCCGACTCCGAGACGCAAGCTCTAATTTCGGTCTCCCCCGAAGCGCACGCCATGCTGTTTGGTGCATGCAGAGAGATGCCCCTGGAGTCGAGTTAGCGAGTCGACCGCCGTGTGGCTGTCTCTCTGTATGTAATTCGAGTACTAGGTTGAGAGACGGCGGCCGCTCGAGAGCTAGAGAGAGTCACAGAGAGAGCGCAGAGGAGAGCGCGCGGGCCCGCGGCCGGCGGTGAGTGAGAATATGTGAGACAGTGAGGCGGCGGTGTGCGTGTGACTCGTCATACTCTGTGATGCGAGCGGTGGTGTGTGTTGTCTTTAAGTAGTCTGCCGCAACGGAAAGCTCGAACGGGAACCCCCGGCGCCCCAGCTGAGCTCACAACTCACATGCACCCCAGACAGAGAGAGACAGAGAGCGGCCTCCACCACCAGATTGTACTCGATCACCCTGCCACGACACGTCGGACAAGTGAACACAACAGTGGCTGCGCGCATCAGAAGCGCCAGCCCTCCAGCAGCACCTCCTCCTCGAGGAGGGCCCCCGCGAGGGCGTGCAGAGGCGGCAGTGCCCGGACGTCGCGCACCGCCCACTCCGGGAAGCGCTCTAGGCCGTGAAAGGCTTCGCGGGTGCTGCCACCGCCGCACGAGAAGCGCTTCCTGCCATAAAAGGTGTCGATCGCCTTGAGCCCGATCCCGTACGCTTGCAGCACCTCGGACCACGCGACGACGCGCTCGTCGTAGTACGAGTACGCAGACAGGCGCGAGGAGACCAGCTGCCGCAGCACGGAGCACTCGGCCTGCAGCTCGAGCTGGCGCACGCGCGCGTGCGGCATCAGCTGGCGCGCGACGGGAGGCAGCCAGTACGAGGTGGGGTACAGGTCGAGCACGACGCCGTGCGCGCTCAGGCCCCTGCGCCACCGCAGCAGCAGCAGCAGCGCCCGCATGCCCGCCACCTCGGCGCTTAGCTGCAGCAGCGCGCAGACCGCGTCGGCGCCGAGCTCGAAGGCCTACTCCGGGCGGCGGGGGCTCCGACGCGGCAGGAAGAGGCGGGCTGGAGCACGGGGCGAGGGGCGAGGGGCGAGGGGCGAGGGGCGGGACTCGCCTCCGGCTGCCCCGTGCCGGGCGTGGAGGAGGTGTGGAGGAGGTGTGGAGGAGGTGTGGGGGAGGTGTGGGGGAGATGTGGAGGAGGTGTGGAGGAGGTGTGAAGGAGGTGTGGAGGAGAAATGGGGGAGGTGTGGGGGAGATGTGAAGGAGGTGTGGGGGAGGTGTGGGGGAGATGTGAAGGAGGTGTGTGGGAGGTGTGGAGGAGGTGTGTGGGAGGTGTGTGGGAGGTGTGTGGGAGGTGGGGTGGGGGGGGGGGGGGTGGG